CCTGCAATCTTTCTGTGATTGGCAAGAGGCTAAGCCGAGAACCCCAAGCAGTCAATTAGTAAGCAGTGTGCTGTGTAATATGAGTTGTCAAACTCCTGTTCAGTTCTCAGTTGGAGACCTGCACATGTGTGCTCCAGACAGCTTTCGTTCAGCGCGCTGTCTGCTCCGGGGTTGCCCGGATGACGGTCATGTCCATGACCAGCCGCAGTTCCCTGATCGGAACAGTTCCCTGATCGGAACACCTGACCCAAGCCTGCTGATCTGCTACAGTCCGTTACCGCCTGAGATTCAGTCTGCTGACTTTCATACACGTCAAGTGTCTCCAACTGAGTTGTTGCAAAAGTCCTCGTTACTCGTCTTGAGGATGAACTCGGTGTTCGTTTCTCAGTTGGTCCAAGTTCAGTAGATCCGTGTCAGCGCGGAAGTCGTGACCTGTGATTGCCATGTGGAGTGCTGATTCTCGTCAGTGGTCAAGCAGTTCCGGTTATCAGAACAATCGCGAATCCAAGTGCTGCGCACCGAGGGCTGTTTTCTGAAGCAGACTGCACTAGGCTTCCGTTCTGCTCGCTGGCAACGTGTTTCTTTTTACGGTTTGGGGTTCGACTCTGGAGAAAGCTGCATAAGAAACTCTTTCACAGCGGGCGTGCTTGTTAAACTGCTAGCGGATTTTGCATCGCTGGCGCACAATACGGTAAAGCGTGCTTCGGTCACACAGTTGCACGTTGCAGCTTCGTCTACTGCTGATACGGAAGAGTTGATTCGAGCCAAAGCCAAGCTTGCACAAGTTGGTATCGCATTGACCCCTCGTAAGCCTGCTGCTGACTGCTGATACGGAAGAGTTGATTCAAGCCAAAGCCAAGCTTGCACAAGCTGGTAACGCATTGGCCCCTCGTAAGCCTGCTGCTGATCCAAGTGCTGCGCACCGAGGGCTGTTGTGTGAAGCAGACTGCACTAGGCTTCCGTCTGCTCGCTGGCAACGTTTTCTTTTTACGGTTTGGGGTTCGGCTCTGAAGAGACTCTTTCACAGCGGACTTGCTTCTTGTTAAACTGCTAACGGATTTTGCATTGCTGGCGCGCAGTGCGGCAGAAAGTAGAAAGTGTTTCGTTCACACAGTTGCTCGTTGCAGCTTTGTCTACTGCTGATACGGAAGAGTTGATTATGTACCGGCCACGTAGCCTTATGACGGATGAACTGCCCCTTCCCTCGAGAAGGGGCGTGTGTGTGTATCTCCTGTGACCAAGGATTGTATGTAGGGCAGCAGTCTGTTTTGCAGCAGGGGACGTCTGCCTAGGGATCTTTGAGTCAAGTGTCAGCTGCCACTCAAGCTTTCACGTCCTTTGTCGCTACGCTCCCTGATCGGAACACCTGACAGAAGCGGGACACTTCTAACGCAATTAGTTGTGTCGTGGCGTAGGTGTCTGTGAGAGGTTGACATGATTGATTGCAGTTCAGGCGCTCAGTGTGGCTTTACAGACGTTTGGTATTTATTCTGGGATCTTATTCGTACAACGACATGTTGTGCGAAGAGCTTCGGAATGCTTTGGCCACCCACGAAAGCCCATGCGAGATATGCAGCGAATGTGTTCAGCAGGGGCGCGCTTTCCAGAAACAAGATGGCGTGGCTTGACAGACGACTGGTATTTATTCTTATTCGTGCTTTTTTTCCAATCCTCGCCAGGAGAAGTTGACTCTGACTCTGATTGACTCTGGTGTTATCCTAGCCGAATGCTGCACTGAAAATCGCGTCGTCGTGTGATGGTGCTGATGATGCTGCCCCTTCTGCGTGCTCGTAGTCGTGTGATGGTGGTGCTGATACGGTGAACCAAACTCTAGACTCTAGACGACGACAGAAGCAGACGACGACAAGAGCGCTGGCGTGCCTCAGAGAACGCAGCCTCCCAGTTCCTGACAAGCACAAGCAAGCCGCAACGTTCATGCAGCCGTTGATTGACTTGCTGGTGAAAGAAGTTACGTCGCATGTTCCTGCTGCTCTTGCTTCGTCCAGTGCCGATGCTGAAAAATTGATCAACGTCTAACTGAGACAATCCTCCAGATGTGAGTGTTCAGGACATACCTGCCACACAGCCGTATCATGGGTAAAAACTACCCCTTCCTTCGGGAAGGGGTGTGTGTGTGTGACTCCTGTTGCCAAGGATTTGCTGGTAGGCTTGTGTTACGAGCTGGAAAGCATGAGTGAACACATCTGTCAAGCAGGGGGATGCCCCACACCTGAAGAGTGGGCATCTAACAAAGAGGTTCTTCAGAGTGTGCTGATATGGTTCCGGGACGCTGGAACCACGTACCTGCAATCTTTCTGTGATTGGCAAGGGGCTAAGCCGAGAACCCTAAGTAGTCAATTAGTAAGCAGTGTGCTGTGTAATATGAGTTGTCGAACTCCTGTTCAGTCTCATTCTCAGTTGGAGACCTGCACATATGTGCACATGTGTGTGACGTGGTTTGTTTGAGGGTGTCCCTGACTGCAGGCGCGCTGGTTCCACCTTGCTCACGCCACCGAGACCCTGGGCACAGGCTGTGCCCCAACTTGTGCATAGGCTCGTGGCGACGCTGCAGCACGCAAAATCGGGAGGCAATGTTTGGGATCTGCGGGAAATGTGTTTCCGTGGAGAGCGAAGCAGAATTCAGAAGGCTTGGACTCGAACCGGGAAGATCGGAGAGCTTGCTGTCTGACCCTGCAGGCTCCTGTGCATCACAACGCTGATGGGGGACTTCTATAAGAGGCAGCTGACTGCACAGCGGTGGCTCTCTTCGAACGGCGTCGCAGAGGAGCACCACGTCTGAGTCGTCCTAGTTCGGGCGCGCCGGACATTTTCGATCAGGCCGACGCTGCCACCTGGGTTGGAGCCACCTTCGCCACTTTCGCGGCGGACAGCAGCGCAGCAGAGGCGAGCAGCGAGAACACAGCTACGGTTCATGGCTGTCCTGCCGCTCGGCAGGCTGACACTTTTTCGAAGGCCTACATGGCCTACATGGCATGCATGACTCAGCATGACCCTGACATGCACGCAGTGCGGGAGACGTGCAAATTTCTCGAGTGCTTGCAACTCGCAGCTCGTGGAAGAGCAGACCCCTGGTGGACTCAACGAGATGGCCTGACGCCTGATGGTCTCTGTCTGCAGAGGTTCCGAAGCTCCAGCTGCAATCTCTCTAGGTTTGGAAAGCCCAAGAAGCTGATGAATCCTACCAGTCCCTGGCGTATTCCTTGGATGCGGCCTGGCCCCCAGAATTCAGGTGGGATCGTCTAAACACACTCCACCACTGAAGCTTGATTTCGATGTGTGATTACGGGTGGCACTTCTGTTTTCCGCTTCCTTGGCCATTACATATTGTCGTTGAAATGATTGTGATCATCTGTTCTTCTGTTCTTGCAGGGTGCCCATTGTCCCGGAGCGGGAAAGGTATTGTATGCATTCAGTTATTCAGTTTGTGTTGCCGGCATTCCTGCAGCTGTGATTTTGCGCATGACCTTTGCCTGCTTTGCTATTGCAACTTGAAGTGACAGAATCAGAATCGAAGGACATCGAAACCCTAGGCCATCCAAACCCCTTGCACCCCTAAATCCTACTTCTGTTCAGGTCTTCCACCGGCTGGTGGCCGGCGCGGAGGATCTCTCCCTGGCACCCGCGGCCAAGCGGTTGAAACGCTAATGGGCGAGTTGCACTCATCGAGGGGAAAGAGGGGTAGCTGGTGTTCTTGAGGGTCTGCGAGCTGCGAATTATCCATGTTTGGGAAGATGACTGCTCAACAGACGGGAGTTCTAGCGAAGTGGTGGAATATACTATAGAAAGTACACTTACGTACACACTCACATACATACTTACCTGCGTACGTACATACATACATACGCACACAAACACACACCATGAGGACGATGTGATGCTGAAACTGGTAAGAGCAGCTTGCAGGGCTTGTGCTTGATCCAAAGGAGCGGAAGTTGTTCCCATTCATGCTCCTCGGACTGGGCAGCATGCGCTGAAAGTTGCTGGGGTGGCACTCTAGCCGACGCGAACGTCAATCCATCGATTGCTTCCGCTCGGAACAGGACGTCCGATTATTAGCTTCCTACGGGCTTAATCTTTCCGGAAGCAGCCAGACGAGCTGCGGAGTTGGTCACGTTGATGTGCACGAGAGATTGGCATGAAAGATGCAGGAGAGAGCCGGAGTTTTTTGCGTAGAAGCGATTGGTGAAGCGGAGCATTTCTGTTACTGGGAATGTCAGGGCTCTTGCGGAGAGTTGCCCAGCCGTGTCGCGCCAAAGGCCAGGTGCAATGTCGTTTCCCGATGTTTCCCGGCTTTCGTCGTCAGCTTCTCAGCCGCATGCACTCAGACGCCTCATATGTGTTTGACGACCATCCGGTATGTCGTTGGTCTACATGTCAGGCATGTTTGAAACCAGGAAGGTTTGTGAGACCTCACTATCCGGCGCCTACTGGCTTGCTGTGAGAAATGTTGACCTTCTGCAACCTCCGCAATCTGTGGTTGGTCGTTGAGATCCGCTTTGCTTGATGGGAGTGGCTACATGTTCTACAATGGGCTGTGCAGACAACCTCCAAGGATTAAAATCACAGAAGGCTTAATCTTTGCTGACAGTCGGCTTGATGACTCCGCTGACACTGAGACATGTAGATGAGGAGGCAGTTCCCTGTGTGATGTGCTTGCGAAAAGGGCTGCAGTCATCGAGCAGAACAGCAGGGTTGCGAGGATTTTCATTGGAACGGTTATTATTTGTACTTCGTTTTTTGGTCTTTTTTTGGCCTGCGGGATATGGGTTGGGTGGGGTGCAGGGGGGGGCGGGGGCTGCGGGGAGCTCGTGGGGGCGGCGGGGAGGGAGGGTGCTCGAGGCCCAAGTCTTTACGTACAAGTGGGCTTCGAAGCAATGTACAGTTGGAAGCAACATACCGTATTAGACTTGATGCGATCGATCTGTCATACAAGCATTGTATTATTCTATCTTATATTGATGTTAGTTCACTATGATATGTATGTTGAGGTAAAACAAGCTCCTACATCAATGCTGAACTCCAGTTTTGGTAAATACTGCATAATGTTTTACCAGTCAGTCTCACGTTTTGTAACAAAGACTCGTATTGCTATATGACTATATGAATGCTATATCAAGAATATGCAGAACTTGGTTAAGATGTTAACAGACAACTACTCAGACTTACGGTTATTTATTTTACATACAATGTTAATATTTGTTTCTATTCTGCTATGGTACAGAACAGTTTTGTTACACACGAAAACCCTACCGCATATTATATACACTATATCAGATACTATATCATGTTGATGTTGTGTTCTATTCTGTTTGGTAATACTATGCTACAATACAATGTGATATTAGGTTATTGTAATATAACGCACATATATATATATATTTGTATGGATATGGATAACCATATTATGTTGTATTGTGTTACATCATTGTATTTTCGTAAAAAAGTTTCACATCATAACACAGCACCATTATATATATATATATTAGAGTATATGTGGATATATCATTTTATACTAGATTTCCTTTGAACTATATAGCACTTTCTCCCTCATATTCTAATACCGTACAATACTGAAGAGTCATTCAATGCATACTGTACATGTACAAAACCATACAATATCAAACAAACTTCATAATAGAACAGAACATAACCGAATATCATGTAGTGTTATTTCATCTAGTAATCTGTAATCTATTAAGGCATGGTATCTCACAGGGTATGCGTTTCAGTATATCATGATAAAGCATGACAGAACAGAAAATAATATAGCATGATATGATATATACCGATATAACATAAAATATTATCATCGTTAAACGGTGACACGGCATTGCCAAAACCTTCCAAACTGTACATCCCAAACTGTGACCCGACACAGAAAAGACCAACATAAGATAGGTTTAGGAAGCTGGACATTTCTTTGCGAGGCTGGTCCACCATTAGTCTGTTTGCTTGTTTGCTGGTGTGGCGTACAGCTCACACAAATTTCGTGAAGCTTCCAGCCCAGTCCCTCTTGTAATACGTAGGTTCAGCAGCACGGATGTTTGTTGTGTTGCACATGAATCAGGCCAACCAGCATTGTGCCAATATGACGATGTTCGTGGATGGCCAGCGGCGGATGTTGCATCCGGACAAGCTATCCCCCTCATGCCCGAAGCCCGAAGGCCGATACTCTACGCCCTGCGCCCTATGTCATGTAGTAGGGTGTATTGTGTAACAAAACAAGTATATCCCGAGCCCAATCCCGGACAGTTCGTCCTCGGGCTGTGACGTGCGGTCCGTCTGCCACAAGGGGGCAGACCAAAAATCCGGCCAAACAAATTCCCACCCATTTTCATTCCTACAGGCTTAATCTTTTCTGAAGCATGTTGTGGTGACTTCGCGAAGTACTGAGACATGTAGATGAGGGACTTGGCACTGACAAATGAATAGGTGGATGGGCATGAGAGAGCGGGGGTTTCGTGCCTGGAGCCGATTCGTGCACCGAAGCGGAGCATTTCTGTTGCTGGGGGCCCCTGCCGTGTCGCGCCAAAGGCCAGGTGCAAGCCCGGTTTTTTGTTCGTCAGCTTCTCA